GTTATATACCGGATGGGGGTTATTTGAATGTTGTTTGAGAAAAAGCCAAGGCTGCTCAAACCACCCCCATGCGGTTATATACCGGATGGGGGTTATTTGAATGTTGTTTGAGAAAAAGCCAAGGCTGCTCAAACCATCCCCATGTAGTTATGTACCAGATGGGGGTTATTAAATGTTGTTTGAAGAAAAAGCCAAGGCTGCTCAAACTACCCCCATGCGGTTATGTACCGGATGGGGGTTATTTGAATGTTGTTTGAGAAAAAGCCAAGGCTGCTCAAACCACCCCCATGCGGTTATATACCGGATGGGGGTTATTTGAATGTTGTTTGAGAAAAAGCCAAGGCTACTCAAACCACCCCCATGCGGTTATGTACCGGATGGGGGTTATTTGAATGTTGATTAAGAAAATGCTGCTCAAATAACCCCATGCGGTAAAATGCCGGATGGGGGTGCATTGAGCGCATCTTAAAAACTTTGAAAAATCCAAACCGGTTGGGGTTTTTGAAATCGTTTCTTTGATAAAAACTCAGAAGTATCCCAGGCGGTGTTAAAGGATAAATATATTGAAAGTTCAAACACCCCCCAGACGGTGAAAATCCGGATGGGGGTGTTTAGAATGCATAATGTTTAAAAGTTGAAAACCCCTCAGACGGGGCTATACCGGCTGAGGGAGAAGATTCAACAAATGGGATATGGGTTAAAGGCCCCCCAGGCGGCATGAAACCCGGATGGGTTGAAATGTTTGAAATCGTCAAAAGCAAAAGTAAAAAGAAAAAGGGCAGCCGGTACCTTAGAGACTGAAGAAAGGGAACCCAACCGGTCGCCGGATGTGCTTAATTTGAAAGTGCCGGATGCAGGAAAACTAAGGAAATAATGCAGCCGGTAGCAGAGCGCTCTCAGAATTTTTTTGAAAATTATGCAAAGTGAGGAGGAGAGAGAGCGTATCTTGTATTTATAGAAGGAGCAGAAGGCGAAACGATGCCTTCTGCCCTAAAAAACTTGAAATTTGAAAAAAGGAGGGAAGGAGACGAACCGTCTCCTCCCATGCGTCTGACACTTGTCACAGGTGACACGTGGACATTCCACGTCACACCTTTGAGAGGGGCAGATGTTTAGGGTAAAAATACCCTAAGACACGTGGCCCAATAAAGGCCTGCCACGTGTCAAGCTTGCAACGGTCAGCAAAGGCCCAATCCCTTTGCGACACGTGTCATTGTACCCTAATTGAGGTACAGTTCTCCCTACTATAAATAGTAAGGGCAGACCTCATTAATGGGGATCAAATCATTTTCCCATCAACCAAAAAAACACAAATCCCCTTGCAAACGCTCTCAAATCGAGAAGCATTTATTGTCTTATTTCCACATTTAGAAAGAGACTAACTTAATCTTCGGAGGCGGAACACCCCAGCCCCAGCCGGAGTATTCCGTTATTTGTGCAGGTACAGGCAAAGGAAGGAGCATACTAGGAAATTGTAACTCTCCCGTAGGACACATAAAAAACCCCCAAACAATAGGGCTCCCTGCTGGCGAGTTTGTAGAGCATAGGAAAATTGCGCAATTTGATTGTCCACGATTTTATTATGGGCTAAAAGTGAATCAATTTGTGTATCCCTACTCTGCATGTATTTCTGCATATCAACTAACATCATTCTGATTTCTGATAAGCCAGAATCAGAAGGGGGAGTAACAGTCTGTTGTGGTCTTTGATGTGGAGGTTGGTAGTACCTCTGCTGCTGTTGTTGTACCTAAGGTGGGGGGTTAGGCACATTCGTACTGTTGTACGACATATTCTGGTTATTTTCCAACCCTGCATTGTAGGTGTTAGAGTATGGACTAGTTTGCTTATAAGCCTAAAAATCATTAATTTTCTCAAGCGAACTAGTACATTCCTAAGCCCAATGACCTACAAGACCACAATTTTCACAGTTAATTGCAGAGTTAGTACCAATAGCAGAAATGTTAGCAACGGAAGATGAATTAAAATTATTAATATTGTCTAGTTTCTGGCTAATAGCAGTAAATTGTGGTTGCATAAAGGATATAGAATCAATTTGGTGTTGCAATATTGGCAGGAATCTAAAATATGAAGATTTGGATCTTCACCCTTAGCTCCGCTAAATTGCTTCCTTTCGATCATAGTAATAAATTGGGGCTTGATTTCAAATTGTACTCCGTCAAGATCAGGTGAAGGAGTAAGATGTTGGAAATCTGCCAGGGACGGCTGCGAATAATCACTGAGCTTGCGTGGTGGTGGATTCGCCATTCTGCTTCTAGTTCTGAATGAACCTCTGTATCACTAGAATTAGATGGTGGTTCCAAAGGTATAGTACCCTCGGAAGTCGCTCGTACCTGTCTAAAAAGATTCTTCTGTCTATGGAAAGAACGTTCAATTTCAGGGTCAAACGGAATGTAACCTGATCTAGAACTCCTGGGCATAAACACAGAACTAAACAAACAGATATGAGAAACTGTCCCAAAGAACTTGCGTTCTTTGAGACTAAAGTAAAACAATCTAGACTACAATAATAATCAGAATTAAAAAATAAAACCGTTTCCCCGGCAACGGCGCCAAATTTTGACAGGATCTAGTCGTATCACCTAATCAAAAGTAATTACCTAAGTCCTCTAACTAAAGTAGATAGGGAAGTAGGGTCGAATCCACAGGGAAACAATGTTCTTTTACTCCTAATTAATTATTATAATCTAAATTATCAGGTAACCAATTTGTATTTGTATGAATTAAACTAATAATAAAACTAAGCAAATTAATCAAAGGAATATTCAATAATAAAAAGCTCTAGGGTATAGGTTCACCAATAAATAATACTCCAGGGTAAAACATACGATCAATTATCAATGCATAAATTAACCAGATTATAAAGGGCCGTCGCTACGTATTATAATCACATAATTAATCTACTGGTATTAAATCTCATCTCTCGAATCTTGACCTTGAGTAGGGGGATTTTCCCACCAATCTCACCTCGCCATGTGGACCAATCAGGTCCTGACAAGTGTCACTCAGTTGGACTTATCAGGGCCTGCCACGTGGCACACTTCAGCTGGTCCACCATGGACTTCCTATGCTATGCCATGTGGCCCTTCAGCCTTGCCTAAACAGGTAGCAAATTGGGCCTAAATCTCAAGAAAGCCCAGTTAGTCCTAGGGTTGGCCAAAAACCCTAGAACCTGGCACACTTCCCAATGCTATAAATATTGTCATAAATGCTCATTAATGACAGAGACTGTCCACCAGAAACACACGGATTTCACAAATCCCAAGACAATCACACACCACTCGGTACCGCCTGCTAGACCCATCCTAGCATCCGGCACCTATTTACATTCCGCATTACAACTCCTTAATTCACTAACTTGATCGTCGGAGGCGGAGCTCCCAACCCAGGAGTCTCCGTTCTTTTGCAGGTACAGGCGCGTGGTTCCAGTCTCGAAGTTGTAACTCTCCCAAGGGACACAGAAAACCTTGAAATATTTTGGCGCCGTCTGTGGGGAGAGTACCTTTGAGATGGTGTCACAATCTGTACCGACCAACAGCGAGAAACGTCCCATGGGCGACTCCCAAGAGGACGAGCCTCATGTTTCTTCTGATCAGGACACTGAGCCTGAAGTTGAGACTCGCACGGCCCCAGATGGGTCCTTGATGGCTCGACGCACTACACCCCGTGAAAGACAAGAACGGCAAGACCAAGATGGTCCAAGCCAAACAGTCGGACATTCAGCCGACTCTCATCAGGCGGTCGACTGGACTGTTCCTGTCTCAAGGGACGACCTCATGACCATCATAAGAAGTTTCAAGGGTGAAATTCAAGATTTCATCATCAGGAAGACGACTGCTTCTCAGAAAGGGCAGTCGAGCAAAAAGCCTTCCAATAAAGGAAGGAAGAAGTCATTAAAGGATCGTGAGGCGACTCCCCATCCTTGCCAAGAGGAGAGGCGGGAACCTCTAACTGATTTTTCCAAGCACCAATTCCCTGTCACAACAGGAAGGAAACCGATCCGCCTGGTCTAACCAGACGGTTCCAAGAAATCCTACCTAGACGCCCGGATGCTGATTCAGTAGAAAAGAAGCCAACAACAGTCTGAGTCGGCTTCCACTTCTGATTTTCTTGACAGTATACAAAACACTTCTATGAAACATTCAAGATCAAACTATGAGATCCGGACAGGCAGTGCACACTCCGGTTCTAGCTCTCATCAACAACAGTCGGCACCATATGTCACTCAGCCGCCATATGTGCCGCAAACTCACTACTTTTTTCCACCTCATCCTTTTGGAGGTCAGACAGCTAAGAATGTCCAGCCTTTGGACTGGCAGTTACGATTGCTTCAACTTGGAGAACAGCCAACCGCCTTCTCCAAGGAAATTTTACAAGCCGCCCAGCCGGCTAAAGTGAAAAATGTGTTAGTAGGCGCCTATGATGGCAACACTAACCTAGAGGATCACCTGATGGCATTCACCAATCTAATGTACCTTCAAGGATTGGACGATGCCACATGGTGTAGATGTTTTCCTGCCACTCTGAAGGGAGTCGCCCAACAGTGGTTCGGCAACCTGCCGGCCGGCTGTGTTAACAACTTCAGAACATTGGCTTATTTGTTTGCATCAAACTTTTCCATGAATATACCTGCCAGGAAGACGACTCTTGATCTAGGAGCCGTCCAGCAGGGAGAAAAGGAGGGATTACGCTCCTACATAAAGAGATTCAATCTGATGAGGATACAAATACCCAACCTGCCGGATGAAGTAGCCTATACAGATTTCTTCAAAGGGTTGAAGGACGGGTCGAACTTCAAATTCGATTTAGTCAAAAAGAGAGTGGCTACTCTCCAAGAGGCAATGATGGAGGCCGAGACCTACATACAAGCAGTCGACCTCTGTCACATGGGAAAGCAAGGGGACCAGAAGAGGTCCGAGAAAAAGGAGGGTCGTCCACAGAAGACGGCCCCAAAGGAAGAGAAAAAGAGAAAAGATATTTAGATGGCCGACTCCACTAGTCAGTCGTCTAGTAAGAAGAGAAAGGAATTCAGTCCATATTCCCCCAAGTATGAGTTCAACAAAGATTATGATACCATTTTCAAAGAAGTTAAGGGTCGACTCTCACTTGAGAAGCCGGCACCTATGATGGGTGATCCTAGCAAACGCAACCAGGGCAAGCACTGCCACTTTCATGATGATGTTGGCCATGAGACCAACGAATGTATCAGTCTCAAGCGTCTGCTGGATCAGTTGGCTGAAAAAGGTGATCTGGACTCTTATGTCAAGAAACCAAAAAGAAAGCAGCCCTCCAATCAGAATCAGTCGGCCATGCAAAAGAGACAGAAGCCGGTCGACAGTTTAGACACTGATGAAGCCACCATCTATACAATAGCAGGCGGCTACGCAGGGGGAGGCCCGATTGTTCGGGGAAACAAGGATAATATCAGACTGCTAGATGTTAACTTTTTCAATAAGGGCGAAACCTCTGGTAGCTCGTTTCCTGAGGTTATCATTTCTGAAAAAGACTCAGGTGGTGTCCGACGACCACATGACGATCCAATTGTCATCGAGTGTAAATTGGCCAATCAAAGAGTTGGCAAAATACTTATTGACAAAGGGATTTCGTCGGACCTCATCAGCCATAAGTGTTTAACCAAGCTCAAGTATAGGCTTGAGAGTCTAAATCCTGTCTCCCATCCTCTAGTGGGATTCGGAGGAGGAGTCGTCCATCCGATTGGACAGGTTGACTTGCCCGTCCGTCTGGGTGAGAAAGGCGAGGGCCGCCACATGGTCATTCGTTTCTTGGTTGTAGAAGAACTTATCGCCTACAACCTGATCCTTGGACGCCCCACTCTTAATGAATCTAAAGCAGTTATCATCCCATCCCTTATGTTGCTCAAATTTGAGAAAGATGACAAAACAGTCGGTTCCATAAGGGGGGATTAGAGAATGGCTAGAGAGTGTTACCTCACTAACATCAAATTAACGGTAACCTCAGACAACCCCACTGGCCAAGATAAAGAAGAAGCGCCTGCTCTAGAACCAAGTGCCAAGAAGAGAAAAGCCTCCAACGTGGATGTACAGAAAAAGAAAAAGCAATAGCAATCACTGGCTGAGGAGCGGCCGGATGAATTCCGCCCTCAGCCGGCTGGGGAGCACGTAGATGATGCTCTAGACAACTCTCGCCCTGATCGTACTGTTAAGGTTGGGACGACTGCTCTGACTGAACTTGGCAATGACCTTCGTCAACTGTTGAAAGAGTTCCAAGATATTTTGCATTTGAGGTGCATGAGATGCCAGGTATTAGTCCAGACCTGGCGGTACACAAGCTAGCTGTCGACCCTAAAAAGAAGCCGGTACGACAAAAAGAAACGGCATCATGGTGAAGAAAGAAACCAGGCGGCCGCTGCCGAGGTAAAAATGTTACTTGATGCAGGATACATTCGGCAGTGTTTCTACCCAGAATGGGTTGCAAATGTGGTACTAGTCAAAAAGCCGAATGGTACATGGCGCATGTGTGTGGACTACACCGATTTGAACAAGGAATATCCTCTGCCTAAGATCGACAGCCTGGTCGACTCAAAAGCCGGCCATGCCTTGATGAGCTTTATGGACGCCTACTCAGGCTTTCACCAGATCCCTCTCTAGAAAAAAGACCAAGAGAAAACTGCCTTTGTCACAGAGCAGGGACTCTATTGTTACACGGTCATGCCGTTTGGTCTGAAGAACGCCCCGGCAACCTTCCAATGAATGATAAACACTGTGTTTTTTGAACAGATTGGAAGGAATGTGGAGGCGTATATTGATGATATGATTGTAAAGTCAAAACTCCAAACAGACCATCTGGCTGACCTCCGAGAACATTCGCCACACTCAGGCGGCACCGAGTCATGCTTAATCCAAAAAAGTGTGTCTTTGGAGTTGAGTCTGGGAAGTTTCTCAGATTCTTGATAAATCAAAGGGGAATAGAGGCAAATCCTGACAAGGTGCAGGCAGTCATTGGCATGCAATCGCCTCGCACCGTTCGAGAGGTACAAAGGCTAACAGGCTGCCTCGCAGCTCTCGGAAGGTTTCTCAGTCGGGCAGGCGACAAGTGCCTCTACTTTTTCCAGGCAATTAGAAAGAAAGCAAAGTTTGAATGGGGGCCGGATGCTGAGTCGGCCTTCCAAAAGTTGAAAGAACATCTGCATTCCCTACCGAGACTCGTCAGTCCTTTAGCAAAAGAAGTGCTTTACATGTATCTCGTAGTGTCAGATCATGCTTTAAGTGCCGTCCTCTTAGCTGAAAGAGACGGCTGCCAACTCCTAGTCTACTTTGTCAGCCATGTTTTGAAGAATGCTGAAATTGAGATACCCACTAGTGGAGAAATTTGGACTCGCCCTGTACGTGGCAGTGAAGAAATTGAAGCCTTATTTCCTGGCACATCCGGTGGTCGTTTACACAGACCAGCCAATCAAACGGCCCCTGACGACCATGGAGTCGTCAAGACGGATGATAAAGTGGGCAATTGAGATCCAAAGCCTTAAGGTCACGTTCGAGCCCAGAAAAGCCGTGAAAGGGCAAGCCTTCGCAGACTTTATAGTTGAGATGACCCGACCACCAGAATATGAAGAAATTGATCAACTAGTGGACGCCTTGTCCAAACTGGCATCCTCGGCCTCATGCGACACCCTAAGAACTGTATTTTGGGAGGTAATGGAAAAACGGAGTATTGAGGAGGACAACATTGCAATCCTCGATAGAAGTTTAACCTGGATGGATGCCATTCGAGCCTACTTAACAGACGGCATATTACCGGCTGATCACTATCAGGCGGTCCTAGTAAAGAAGCGGGCAACCAGTTTTGAAATGCACAAAGGAGAACTTTTCAAGAAGGGCAATTTGCAACCTTTCCTAAAACGTGTTACCCCTGAAAAAGGACGAGATGTCCTACAAGACCTGCACTCCGGATACTGCGCCTCTCATGTAGGCGGTAGGTCACTTGCTCAGAGAACGAGGCGGCAAAGGTAATTTTGGCCGACTCTGGAGGCAGACGCCATGGATCTGGTTAAAAAGTGTGACAAGTGCCAGAGGTTTGGCAAGTTGATTCATCGTCCAGCTACAGATCTAATGGCTATCCACAGCCAAATTCCATTTGCTAAGTGGGGCATGGATATTCTAGGACCCTATACGCCTGCATCAGGCGGCAGGAGGTACATCCTGGTAGCAGTCGACTACTTCACCAAATGGGTGGAGGCCGAGGAAGTCAGGGGCATCAAGACCAAGGATGTAACCTCCTTCATTTGGAGGAATGTGATCACTCGTTTTGGGGTTCCTATGTCCATGGTTTTTGACAATGGTCCCTGTTTAGGGTGAAAATACCTAAGACACGTGGCCCAATAAATGCTTGACACGTGTCAATCTTTCAGCAGTCTGCAAAGGCCCATTTCCTTTGCAGACACGTGTCCCTTATACCCTTATTGAGGTACAGTTCTCCCTTACTATAAATAGTAAGGGTAGACCTCATTTATGAGGGACAGACATTAATTGCAACCACAAAAAAACCAAACAAAGCCTAAACCTACTGAAACGCTCTCGAACCGAGAAGCTTTTACAGTTCTTATTCCACTTCGAAAAGATACTAACTTAATCTTCGGAGGCGGAACTCCCACCCCCCATCCGGAGTCTCCGTTACTTGTGCAGGTACAGGCGCAAGAAGGAAGTCGGCTAGGTGCAAGTACAGGCGTAAGAAGGAAGTCTGCTAGGAAATTGTAACTCTCCCGAAGGACACAGAAAACCCCCAAACATCTGGCGCCGTCTGTGGGGAGAGTACTTTCTAGATGACATCTGAGCCTATACTACCTGGTAAAAGCAATATGCCTACTGGGGAGGTTGAGGTCCATTCGGACCAAGATACAGCCGATAACTATGACTTGGAAGCCTACACTGCTGCAGATGGTTCTTTGAGGACCAAGAACACCCGTTCCAAGGATAAGAGAGAACGGGAAGGGAACCAGGCGGCTCCTAGCAAGCCAACTAGGGGGCCGCTTGGGTTAACCTCTACCGCTGGAGACTCCCCAGTCTCCAGAGATGAGCTCATGAATATGATGATGAGCTTCAAAGGAGAGATCAAAGGCCTTCTGGATTCCACAGCCGGCCCCCGTAAGGGTCAGGCGGAAGAAAGGCGTCACGGTAAAAAGACGGCCAAAACAGTCAAGGGTAGAGCATCTACCCCACATCCGAAGTCAGACATGCCAGCTAGGCTCTTTGATTTCTCAAAGATGCACACTCCTATAGATGGAGTCAGAAAGCCCGTCCGGCACATTCAGCCGGATGGAACCAAGAAAGTCTATTCTGATGCCCGGACGCTTATCCAAGATAAAAAGATTCAGCGATCCGAGTCGGCATCAACATCGACCTTTCGAGACAGCTTCAATGTCACCTCAGAAAGGCACTCGAGAACAAACAATGACAGCCGGACGAGCGAGGTTTCCGCTCGATCCGGCCCTCATATGATCCAACCGGCAGTGCATGGAACACCGTATACGCCCTTTGGATCCCCCTATGCACAGGCAGGTATTTTCGGGGGGCAGCATCAGTCGCCCGTCCAGCCTATGGACTGGCAGCTCCGGCTGCTCAACCTTGGGGAACAGCCAACGGCGTTCTCCAGAGAAATTACCGAGACGACCCAGCCGTCTAAAATCAAAAACGTGTTGGTAGGCGCCTACGACGGTACCACCAACCCGGAAGATCACCTTATGGCATACACCAACCTGATGTATTTGCAGGGTTTGGATGATGCCGCATGGTGCCGATGCTTCCCGGCAACGTTGAAAGGGATTGCTCAACGTTGGTTTGGTAACCTCCCAGCCGGATGCATCAATAATTTCAGGACCTTGGCCTACTGGTTTACGTCCAACTTTTCTATGAACATCCCTGCCAAGAAAACAAGCCTTGATCTAGGGGCAATACAACAGGGAGACAAAGAGGGGCTCCGGTCATATGTCAGGCGGTTTAACCTGATGAGGATCCAAATCAATGGATTGTCTGATGACGTTGCCTATACTGATTTCTTCAAAGGCTTAAAAGATGGATCAACTTTTAAGTTTGACTTGGTTAGGAAGAGGGTCTCCACTCTTCACGAGGCACTCATGAAGGCGGAGGCCTACATTCAGGCAGTGGAATTGTGTGCTGTTAAACTTCCAACGGATTACAAAAGATCCGATAAAAAAGAGAATCGGCCTACCCAGTCGGCCAAAAAGGAAGACAAGAGAAAGGGGGTATGGGCGGCAGACTCATCCGGACAACCTTTCCAGAAAAGGAAGAGGTCGGATCCGTATGTGCCAAAGTACGAGTTCAACAAGGACTGTGCCTCCATTCTCAACGAAGTAAAGGACCGGTTGAATCTTGAAAAACCGTCTCCTATGAAGAGTCCTCTAAGCGCCCGGGACAAGAGCAAATATTGTCTTTTTCACGAGGAAATTGGCCACGACACTGAGGGTTGTTTTAGCCTCAGGCGGCTCTTCGACCGGCTCGCTGATGAGGGGGCTCTCAAATCTTATCTTTCCAAGTCAAGGGGTACACCTAAACAAGCAAGAGGACCACCCCCAAAGAAGCCGGCTACTCAATCGGATACGGATGAGGAAACCATTCTGACCATAGCCGGTGGCTTTGCGGGAGGTGGGCCTACCATCCGGGGTACAAAAGATAACATTCGGAAACTGGTCAACTCGGTGGATGAGGGCCAGTCGTCTGAATATTCATTTCCGGAAGTTAACATCTCCGAGAGAGATAGAGGCGAGGTCAGGCGGCCTCATGATGACCCCATAGTCATCGAGTGCAAAATCGCCAATCAAAGAGTTGGCCGGATCTTGATTGATACCGGGAGCTCATCCGACCTCATCAGCTACCGGTGCTTGGAGAAACTCAAGTATAAGCCCAGTAGCATGCTTCCGGCCTCATACCCT